TTCTGTTAGGGGCAGCCTGGGTGACAGAAACATGCACACCAATAAAGACTGTCTTTATGGCATCACTGACTATAGGGGTTAGAGAATCTCTAGTTGGAGATAAAATCAAGTGAGATGGATTAGACCCGAGGAGGATCTTGGGCAGTGGAGCAAGGAGGCAGGTGCCAAGGGCCCAGCTCTGCCCCTCCTCCACGGAGGTGCAGATGGAGCTAGGCAGGTAGGGCTGTGCCACGTGGGTGGCTTGGCTGTCCCCTGGGAGGGGTCACTCTCTGGTGTGTGAAGGGATTTTTGTCTCTTTCTAAGAAAATTTTGATGTGATAAAAAGTGCCTTGTAATCACCACATCCAATTTCAAAGAGAGAGTAAATCATCAAACAAAGTTAGTTTCCAGAGTCTTAATTATCACCAGGAAACATAATTAATTAGCAGAACAAGAAATGACCAAACCAAGTCCTCCTACAGCCAACAAAGATGTGTTCTGAGCACACACAATGGTGGGAGGAGGAAGAGCTGGGGTAGATGGGGTGGGCAGTGCCCCCATGTGCATTTAAAATGAATGTCCTAGGCCTCCACGCATTCTCAGAAGTTCGCATGCCTTTCAAACTGTTTGCAAAGTTTCTAGGTCATTCCTTCCAGGCCCCTTCCTTTCCCAGGCCGTGAGGCCAGAGTAAGGCAGCAGAATTAGAATAAATACACGGACCCTCCTCCCCTTTCTCTCCCCCAGTGTAACAGGCTCTGGGCCAGAAACTCTCAAACCAATTGATGGTAACAAGCTTCAGTTCAATGCTATTGGCTGTCTGGTAGACCTCCCTGGCTTTTCTTGTCTCTGCTTCTCAGCTTGTATTTTTTTATTTATTCCTTTTAGTAGTAGCATCATATAAATAAAACACCATTACAAAAATGTCGCAGAAAGTTCAAAACTATTCATTATCCATTTCATACAGATTAAAATTGCCATCAAGGCTGTTTGGATTTGACTTGCGTTCTTTTCCTTCTAATGAGCCGGATAGAGAAGGCAAAAGATGCTAATTCATCCTTACATCTCTATCATATCTCGGCTTTTACTATATAAAGCATCAAGGTCGCATTCTGGGGAAATGTCTTTTTACCAAAGGTGCTATAATAATAATGAAGAAGCAATTTGTTTCAGCAAACTGCCTGCAGTAATGAGGCTTAATTATAACCATGTTATTAATACCGCTGCTTAAGGTAATTCACTTCTGAGCGGGGTGCAGAACAGTAAACTATAATTTAAACAAGAATCGAGACCTAATTTAAATCATCGGATCTGCTGCGGAAAAAGGCAAACAGAACGACTGTAATCCACACGTGATTTAGAGCTTCCCCTCTGTGCCATTTCCGGGACTCCTAGGTGATTGTCAGAGGGCAGAAAGCCCAGATCTGGTTCTTGGTCCTCCTGCTCTTCCTAGAGGTTTTGTAGGTGATGCAGCTGTGAGGATCTGCATCCAGGCATCTGCTGCCTCTTGACCCTCTTATGCAAGCAGGCAGGGGAGGTTGAGAGGCCAGGAGGAAGGTCTTCATCATTTCAAGGATATCTTTGAGATAATCTTAAATGCATCGTAATTCTTTCCCCACTAATTTATTATGAAAACACTTTGCTTTCTGTTTTGTAATGGAAAGGGCCTTGTTTGACTCTCAACCTCTGCCAAAGACCTTACTGAGGCCAGAAGAGGGAAGTGCCTCACTGACTAAAAGCACAAAATGGCTGCCAGGTATAAAACAAGATCCACCACTCCTCCCTAGCTCCACCACTTTGTTGCTTTTGCAGCAGTATTAGTTTCATCTGCAAGTCTCATCCTTTCTATGGTGCCCTAATATTGCACCTAATATGGCAACCTAAGGGTTCCAAGATGTAGCTGTTCATCAGCATCTTCAGAGTTGCTTTTTAGAAAAATATAAATTCATGTATTCTACCCTTCCACCTAGATTTTGATGTTGTCAGTCTGGCTTTGACCTGGGAGATCCATGTATTTATCAGAAACTTTGGTTACCCTGGTGCAGGTGGTCAAGGCTAATATATGCAATTTATTTGTTCTTCAGCAGCATCAATACATTTGAAAAATACAAAAAATAGGAGGAGTCTATGTGTTGCCTTGATAACTCTTCTGAGTTGCATTTATTTATTTAACTATTCAACATTTATAAGGCACCAATTATGTGCAGACCAGTGTTATACACACACCACTTCTTTGTATTCAGCTAAATTTTACCCCTGCTATTATATTATCAATGAATTCCTTTTTTCCTAAGACAAGACTGTATTCCATGTTACTCTAAATGCAAAGAAACCGGGAATATCAGGTAGACGTCTTTAAGTGGATGGTACACATTTTCAAAACCCATATTTTATACCAGAGCTCCATGGATAGTCTATATTACCAAGGCAAGGAGCTAACCCTCCTCAGAGTCTTCATCAATGCTAGCTAACCATGGCTTAAGACAGTCAGGCCTAATTTAATGAGGTAGCTGTGAATGGTCTAAGACTGAAAATGTGCAAAGGCAGGCAGGAATGATTTGTGGAGTCAGAGCAATGAAGACACCATCTTGGTCCTGATTCCATGAGAAATAACAGGGACCTTAGCATGTTGTGGATAGTCTTTGAGCAACACCTAAGCTTTACCTGTGCATCCTTCATTCAACCATCAGTTCAGCTCCTCTTTCACAGCCCAAAACCAAGCCACTGCCCATAGAGCTGCAAGAATGCAGGAGGTGGTAGGCTGGAGGGGACAGAGGGAATCCTATGGTCAACCTCAGAGTTGACAGAGGAATGCTCACAGCCCTTTGACAACTGAGGTGGAAGAATGAAGACCTTTCATGTTTCTGCCCTTGCCTCCTCAATGGCCCTACATAAAGACAGGTCCAGAGAAAAAATAAATGTGGGATTGATTGGATTCAAATCTGGAAACCTCTGACTGCGTGCTCCCCAGCAACTTGACTCCTAATTCCCAGAATTTTGCTGTTTAGAGAAATGTAAAGTGGGAAGGGGGCATATGAGCTTTCAAATGGCTCAAAGGACAACAAAACTTCTCTTGCTTTGGACTTTGTTGCTTTTATTTTTGATTTGATTAACACATGATAATTAAAGTTCTTTCTTTGTCTAAAGGTCAGTCTCCCCAAACCAATCCACTCAGACCCGCCTCAGTTTATCTACAGTACCACGTAGGCATGTATCTCTATTTTTACTCTTAAGAAGCCTGCAGTTCCTTCCCTCCCTCTGCCTCCTCTGCTTTTTATTTCTCTCTCACTTTTGTTCTTTTCCAAGACAACTCTCCCCTCCTGGGTTTTCTTACTGGTAGGAGCTCTGCAAAGCCAAATGACACCAAATGATGCCTCCAGCTGGTGGTAATGACCAGGCTCTGGAAGAACTGCAGAAACAAGGCACAGAGCTATGAGACAAAGCCCAGACTAGTACTGGGAGGGATGTATTCTCTCTCTGTCTCTGTCTCTCTCTTATACATACAAAATGCACACAATTACATGCAAACACATATGCATGTACATGTAATGCAAATTCATGCACACTGTATAAACACACATACATTGATGCTAGTCTTCACGTTCAAAGACATACATCCCTGTAGATACACACGCTGACCTGCTTCATCCGGCAACAACCTTTCATTTCCCCTTAATAACATTTCCTTCCTTCTTAAAATGCTGGATTCACCTGACCAGCTATGGGGGCAGGTGTCTGGGGACGTGGTCCATTTCAATCTTGGAGCCACTGTGAACCTGTGGAGATAAAACTGTCTGGAGTACAGCGGACAGCAATGACTGGAGGTGGGGTGGTGTCTGGAGTGCTTTCCTTAGCGGGGAATAAAACCCCCTCCCCCAGGGTTCCATCTCTGTTCCATCTCGCAGCGTCCTGCAAGCTGTTTCATCTTAGATTGTGTGAGCTCCAAAAGGGTGTCCAATTTTGATGAACAATAGCTATAAAGTCATTTGCAGTGCCCTGCTGCGGCACAGTGTGCAATTGACCTGGCGAGACACTACACTCATTCTGCTTCCCTGTGGCCCTTACATGCAGCCGCCTCTCCTAGTGCCCTGCTTTCCAGCCTCTGTCCCTGGAGTCCAGACTCAAGTCCCTCAGAGCAGAACCTCTAGTTGTGACTTTGGGAGTTCAAAGGAAGCCAGGGTGCCTCATCACGCACAAAGAACTGAGAGAAGGAGTGGGTAGGTGGTGACCCCAGGAAATATCTGGGCATAGCAAGTCCCCCTGGTGGATATGAGAATGTGCCCTGGAAAATCCCTTCTCATAGCTGGAATCTGAGCATCCTACAGAAACCTAGGATTCATTGCAAGGAGCCCCAGGGCTGCATTAAAAACCTGGAAATTGGAATCCCTTTAAAATGTCAGGCTGAGCAGTGTCATCTTTACAGGACAATTGGGCCAGCACCCGGTCTTGAGATAAATTTACCCCTCATCAGGCCAGAGTTCCTAGGAGGATCTCTGCTTCTTGAAAGTGCCATTCATCCTTCCTGGGTCACTGTTCTGATGATAAAAATCTCTTTCATCTTATACTTTTCAAAGCACTTTCACATCCATTAGCCCATTAATTGATTCATTCATTGTACACATTTATTGAACACATGAGGCACTTCAAATCTTTTTAGAACAAGCCAGGATCCAGATAAATATATGCATACATGCTGAGTGTCCACAAAGAGCAAGTCGTCCTGACAGGCACCGGCAGAAGTGAGGGGGATTTTTGGAGAGAAAGGAGGGGCAGCTTTCTAACAGAATCTCTGTCCTAATACTCTCAGTCAGATCCAAACCTATTATGTTGATTTTACCAGGTTGAATAACTTTGTGATCGTCATGAAATTACCCAGAGGCACATCCAGAGCACACGTCCTGATTCAGATTGAAGGTGCTCTTTCTGTTTTCTGAAATGTTGCTTTCCAGAAAGTTCTTCCTGTGGTCATAGCTCTCTTTTCCTTCCTGTTTCTTTGCGCTCTTTGGAATAAACCATCTCAAAGGAGGAACAGTCACAGTGCAGTTCTTCCTGGATCCACATATATATTGCTTCAGGGACCAGAAAAAATACCCGTCTTCTCTATTTCCAGAAGGTCAGTAAGACTGAGCATTTGTTTGCATTTCACATAAGCCTCTCCAAGGATGCTTAGATTCTCTAGCAGAGCCCTGTGGTGGGTGAGGCTTGCGCTTCTGTGTCGTGTCTGTCATGTTTACTGCTTGCAACCTTCAGGACAACAGCTTCCTGGATTCCAGTCTTTCTTCATAGGCAGAAAAAAATGGAAAAGCAACATCTCCCATCCCCTGCTAACACTGCACCTTCCAGCTAGGAGGCCCATGGCCAAGATGGGTCGAAGGTCTTGGCAGCAGAAGACTGCCACTGTTGAGCTCCAAGTGCTTTTTCTTGAGCTTGGGCTTTTTCTGACTCTGTTCTGAGGTAGCATTGTGTGCGTGTGTGTTTGTGAGATGTATGAGACAAGTTCAAGGTTGAAAGGGGAAGCGCTGTAGCTGTTTTCTCTTTGTACATGTCACCTTGTCAGAATATCTTACACTTCAAGCTCCTAGCCCCTTCTGAGTGAGGTCACCATGTCAAAAGACAAGCCACAGGAATGATAATGGAGCAGCCTGGCTGCTAAGTGGGGTACTGGATTCTGGGGCTCAGGCTTACTTTCGTGTTCCCAGTGTGGAGCCAACTGTCAGGAGAGCCTCTTTGGGGTCACATCTGGAGCAGCATCTGTTCCCTGCTTGCTCTGGTCCTGGTGACAAAAATGACCTGGCCTCTTCAGTTCTAGAGGGAGGAGCAAATTCTTGGTTGTAAACAAGCTCTGGGAGGTGTGAACAGAAGGAGGAAATTTTTGGATATTAGGGCCTGTAGGATGTTTAGAGGTTGGGATGGTTCTGGGGAGAGAGAGCAGAGACTAAGGCCATTGCTTTTTAGCAAGAGAAACCTGGCCAGTGATACCCCACAGGGCAGCCATGGCCACTGCATCCACAGCTTACAGCCACTAGACACACGTGCCCTACATCCCCATCTCTTTGCCTTACCCACCAGAGGCTCAGGTGGGGGCAGGTGATTGGCTGGCCCCAGACACATGTTGGGGTAGGATGCGGGGCTTCTATCCCTGTCTTTATGTAGTGGGAGACTGGATGAGGGGAAAAGACGTATGTGTATTTGAGAGAAGCTGAAGAATCTGGCACATCTTTTGTGGAAGAATTAATCAGAGTAACAAGATTGAGAGAGACTTAATAATGCTTTTTAAATAATGGAAAGATTTTTTTTCCTTTTCTAGTATGATGGACAGATGGAAAATGGAGAGTGAAATGGGCTTAACACATGGCGGGGGGCCGAGGGGGGACTGTGCAGGGTTTCCTGGCTGTGGGGGCTGCTGGGCTCAGTGGAAATGACTCTGTAGGGTGGAGGGTTCTCCCTAGAAGGACTAAGGGAATGTCACAAGCCACTTCTTTTGCTATTGCTTCTCCTTGGAGACTCAAAGTCTCCTAGACTCTGTTAAATGCCCAGAGCAGCATCCTTTCCTGCAGTTTTAGGGAGAGACACAGAGAGAGAGGGCAGATGGGCAGAGGCTGCAAGACAGGAGTCTATGGGACAATGAGACTTAGGGACTTTTACTTGCGACCCTCAGGAAATGTGACTGGGAGGAAGTTCGCAAAATGAAAGGTGGTGTTCTAGGTTAGAAAGTGGGAATTACCACCCAGCCTGGGAGACCCCATCAGTACCTCCAAGTTCTATTTAGGAAAGATACCCAAAATGGGCAGCCTTGTGTCCTTTCCCATTAAAGCATTTCCTACCGGATGCCACAGCCCACTGGAAACGGGACAGCCCACAGCCGTCAGAGGAAACTGAGCAAAAAGTGATGGGCATCTCCCCTGAACTCATCTCCCTGTGCCTGGCATTTAAAGTGAATTGAAACGAATATCTGATAACTGAATAAACCTCTAAATGGAATCAAAAACCTTATGAACCTGAAGGAGAAATAGGAGTCCCAGGTCTGTTAAGTCTAAATTGAATAAATCTGATCAACTCTGACAATTTCTGCCAATGCTCTTGGAGAAGGAGGAGAAGAGGAGTGAGGAGAGATTGGGCAGAGGAGGGAGAGTATGTGTGTGTGTGGGGGGGGAGGTGGAACTGTCCCATAATTAAGCTATCACCATGAGCCAGCGCAGGAGAAGGCCTGGATGCCCCCAGCTTCAGTCAGCTGAATTAATAAACAGATGACAGTAGAAGGCCTCAGGAGAGCAATTAGACATTTGCAAAAATGGGATGGGGCAAAGTCTCATTCTGAACCTTTCTGGACAGGCGCTGAAATGGAACTGTGACAGCCCGGGGCGTAGCTACTGAGGCTGAGGTGCGCTCTATTGCTGGCGGAGGGCTCTGTCTCACTGGGTAGCAGGTACCAGAAGCAGAAAAGTCTCATTCAGTGTGAGTTCCCTATGGTGATGAGGCCCTTGCTCTCCACGGACCTTTGACACTTTCTTTTACGTTGGCAGGGTACTTGCTGCATAGTTTTAAAACCTGGTCATGACATACTTTAACACTTGTCTCAATGAGGTGTGGGATGCGGCAATCTATGTGTCTTCCTCTTGAACCTAGGTGGATTTGTGACTGTTTCCATTAATGTAGGATGGTGATGATGTTTTTCAAGACTGAGTCAGAGAAGGCCACGCAGCTTCTGCTTAATTATCTTGGGATACTCTCTTTGGAGGAAGCTGACCACTGGGTAGAAGGTTTGGTTACCCTGACATGGCCTTGCTGGAGAGATTCCTGACCAACAAAATTTGAGTGCTGTAAAATTGCCTTAATCTGCTGAGGCTTGCAGTAGTTTGTTAGGACAAACCAAAACACAGCCCTTGTTGGGTCCCTTCTTTAATGTGAATGGTTGATTGACAGTATCGAAAACTGTATTTTGAAAATTATAAAGGTAGATGACCATTTGCACCATTTTTATTGTGGTAAAATGCATAAAATTTACCTCTTTGCCATTTTAAGTGTACAGGTCAGTGGTTTGAAATACACTGTGGTACGGTCATTGCCACTATTCATTTCCATAACTTTTTATTTGTAAAATTGAAAGTACATCCCTTAAAAAATAACTCCCTATTCCTTTCTCTTCACTCCTTGTAACCTCCGTTCCAGGTTCTGTCTGTGTGATCTTGACTATAGTACTTGTGTCTGGCTTATTTCACTTAGTATCTTGTTCTCAAGGTTCATCCCCTTTTTGTCAAAAGTCAGGATCTTCTTCCTTTTCAAGGCTGAATGATACTCCAGTGCATGGATAGACCACATTCTTCTTACCTATTCAGTGGATATTTTGATTTCTTTCATGTTTCAGCAGTAATGAATAAAGCTAAACTGAAAACATGAAAACATGGGTGCACAAACATCTCTCAGGATTCCACTCTCAATTCTTCCTGGCACATGCCCAGAAGTGGAACTGCTGAGCTGTATGGTAATTTTATTTTTAAATTTTTGCAGAAGTAGGGCATTGTTTTCCACAAAGGCTGTGGCAGGGCTAGGGATATGGCTCAGTGGTAGAGTTCTTGCCTTGTATGCATAAGGCCTTGAATTTGATCCCCAGTACC